TGAAAAATCACGTCATGTTGCTGCTGATCTGTTTCATGTTGCTGCTGATCTGTTTCATGTTGCTGTGTTCATTCGTGCTTATCTTTTCTCACAGACTCATGTTCTTGCTGCTGTTCGGTGTATTGTTTTTATGCTATTAGTGCTTAGCATATTTTTAGTTGATGTTTTTCTTAGTTCATATTTTAGATCTTATTAGTCTTTTTTTACATTTTATTGTGGGATGTAACTGGGACCCCGTGTACACAATCTCATTCCACTACATGTACCACATGTGGAACAAATGACTAATAAACTCTGACTCTGTGACAAGTACACAATATATAAATATATGTGAGGACTTATCATATATACCAGGATGGCCGAGTGGTTAAGGCGTTGGACTTATGATCCAATGGACATATGTCCACGTGGGTTCAAATCCCACTCCTGGTAATCGTTTACAGCCAAAGGTCAGGTAAGGCAACCAACCTGTGACATGAAAGTAGAATTGCACTCAAGCCCAGAAAAATTTAACCTGTCCCACAGGTAGCCATAATCTCTGAGCCCAACAAATTAAAAGTAATAAGCCCTTTTCACATGATGTCAGACAACTTCCTTTTTGACTCGATGCTGTGGATCATTACTTCCGGGTCTATTCTCCCTCGGGAGACCTGTCTGGAAACTTAACGGAATTTCATTCCTTCAACCTTTATTTACAGAGGTTATATTACAAGATATAGCACAAGGTAAGGTTAATAAAAACTGTATGTGTTTGTTAGCTGTGGTAATGTTATCCATCATTGCAGAAACTTTAGCCACAGTAGCTAAAATATACAACACGGGCTGTAAGTGCTCTAATGTTTAAAGGTTTACTAGCTATATTAATGTTAATAAAACAGTATTTATGTGTTAGTTAGCTGTGGTAATGTTATCCATCATTATCAATTTATCATTCTGTAACTGTGTAAGGAAACAGCCTCCAATTGTAAAGTAAGCTAGCTAGCAGCTAACAGGTAGCTAAACTCTACACTGCTGCTGCCTGTCAGTGCTGTAACATTAAAATGTTTACTTTATCTATTAATGTAAAATCTCTGACATCTTCCAACACTGTTGAATAGAATAGCATTTTAAATATTGAATCAAAAACTATATGTCAAACCATTTCCATGTTCTGATGATTAATAATTTCTATTTTTGCTTTCTTCTTGTACCCATCTTTCTCAGCAGCAGCAACTCAGCAAGGAGGACACCCTGAAGACCCAGGCTCGTCTGAGGATTTTAGCAGACAGGACCATGTGAAGGGTTAAGGAGTACCAGTCAATCAGGAGGTTCGGTCAATCAGCTGTGGTTCATCTGCTGCTGCCTAATATCAAATTATCAGGGTCGTCTTGATCAAAAAGGAGACAAACCAGTCTAGAGCCTCCCTGCTCCTTCAAGTCACACTTCTTGGATGAACATTCATTACTGCAAGCAGCTGCGTTGGAAATCTCTCCATATATTTATCTCTTTTTTTTTTAATCTACTAATGAATGAATTGATGTTGTGAAGAATTCTGTCAAAACTTTTTTTAAATAGCTTGTCTTCATTAATCTGCATATGTACATCTTTTACATTTAAATTGCATCTGTTTGTATATTTTACACATCTGGTAATGTATGTGGAGGAAATGCTCAAATTAAAGCTTCTGTTGTGTAACAATTAAATAAGGTATGTGGCTGCTTCTTGCAAAAATTCATTTAATAATTTTATTGAACACTGTACATGGAGCAATGTTGGTAAAGAAACTTATTTACACACACACACACACACACATATATATATATACACACACACACACACACACACACACACACCCACACACACACACACACACACACACACACACACACACAGGAGGGCACTTCTTAATTGTCAGCTGCTGGATTTCCATTTCTAGGGACAAAACTTGTCTCTGCAACTCTTGAATTCTCCGTGTAGCATCATCCAGTTGACCTAAGATAAAAGAAAATATAAATCTTAATAGGCATCACTTATCCACCTATCAATTTCCTGTTCAATTATCAAATATCTTTTGTATTACAGCATTTCTTCTATTACTTACTCGTTACTGCCTTGACAGTTCTGAGGTGAAGATATATGTAATTTTTTTTTCAAAGGGGAAAACACAAAATATGCAATATTTTCCATAAAGTATAAAGCTGCTCCTCATTCAAATCATTTCATGTATTGACTGACAGTCTCTCAACCATTAGCAAGTCCAAAATGTTCTGAATACAACCACGAGATGGTTACAGTGTTATTCACTGCCATATATTTTTTCTACAAGACATTTTCTGCAATACTAACCCAGAGAAGGATGTCAGGCAGAGTTGTGATCTTTTGCCACTGCACCTGCAGGCGATGCCTCCTCTGTACAGTTCCTGGGGTCAGGCACCTCCTGGGAGTAATCCTGGCCAGCAGCACTGAGACACTTTCTTGCTCACAGGTAAACTGACTCACGAGCTTGTGAGCGTCTCCCTAGAGGTGGGAAATCAGACACTTCATGGTCATGACACATTTTTGTTTATTTTAAAAAAATGTTCAGCACTGTCTTCCCTCCATTTACCCCAATCATTCCAGTGAAATCTAGATGGCATCGCTCCTTGTCTGATCCGGGTTCTTCCACTGGCTGATGAATTTAGATCTTCTGGGGCAAAGTGCAGACTGCATGGGTGCTCCCACGAAGGATTTTAAAAGTTGGCCCTTCATCTCTCCTCATGGCTCTCACCCAACAGGAACGTATTTCTTTGTCCACGAGAAAATTGTGGAAACTCAAATACAGTGTTTTTTGTTTATTACTGGAACAACATGGCACACTGCAATAACGTCTTGATGACTGCGTCATGCTGGTTAGACGAGTTACTGCTGAGAAAGATGGACAAGAAGAAAGTAAAAAGAGAAAAAAGAGAAATTATTAATCATCAGAACATGGAAATGGTTTGACATATAGTTTTTAATTCAATATTTAAAATGCTATTCTAAACAACAGTGTTGGAAGATGTCAGAGATTTTACATTAATAGATAAAGTTAAACATTTTAATGTTACAGCACTGACAGGCAGCAGCAGTGTAGAGTTTAGCTACCTGTTAGCTGCTAGCTAGCTTACTTTACAATTAGAGGTTGTTTCCTTACACAGTTACAGAATGATAAATTGATAATGATGGATAACGTTACCACAGCTAACAAACACATAAATACAGTTTTTATTAACCTTACCTTGCGCTATATCTTGTAATATAACCTCTGTAAATAAAGGTTGAAGGAATGAAATTCCGTTAAGTTTCCAGAAAGGTCTACCGAGGGAGAATAGACCCGCAAAGACCCGGAAGTAATGATCCACAGCATCCAGTCAAAAAGGAAGTTGTCTGACGTCATGTGAAAAGGGCCTATAATAGGTCTGAACCAAAAAAAAACAACCCTGACATTTTTAATTAAGCTTTGACTGCTTATAGTTTCTAATGGTCGGCAGACGCGCATGGCAAAGATCAGAGCTGAGGCGTTTGTCCTTTCATGGCCGTCAAAGCGCATTAAATCCCTGCATTCTGCATTATTCAGACACGGACCCTGCTCTGATGTCTGCAAGGATATTTTGGGATCTCGCCTGTTTGGGTCGTACGTCGGCCGCGCGCGTCCACCGAGTGCAGGCTGAACGTCCATTTTGGGTTTTGGATCGCTGGCAGTAGGCCATCTGAAGCTTAACTGAACTTTTTTTTCCTTCTTTCAACCAGCCGGTCAGCGCGTGGTCAAATGGCCGCGTGCGACTGGTGATGTATGGCAAGCCATGTTGCCATATAATTGGATTATCAGCACAATCAAAAGCCCAATACCTGCCCGGGCCTAATTCGGGTTGGGCCGGGCTCCGGGTTTTGCAGGTTCATCACCATGCCTACATGTCATGGTGTCCTTGAGCAAGACACCCAATTCCTGGCACTTACATGGCTGCCCACTGCTCCACCTGGATGCATCTTGGGTGTGATGAGGTAAATGCAGCGAGCTGATTTTGTCATTGTATGGGAACATACAATGATAAAACTTTACTTAATTAGTGGTTTTTAATGTGTAATGTGTGTCAGGACACATCAGAAACGTGGTGGGACTCGAACACCTACGAGAACCTTTAAATGTGACGGGCAGAGCGCTATAAGCTGTCTTAATTTCTTGTAATTATGTTAAATCTGTTTTTGCAGAATTTCTCTTCAGCCAATTTGGAGCAGATGAGTAAAACCATGAGCTGTTAGGTTGAGAAAATCCCCCACTATTCATTCAAGACTTTCACTGACACATACATGCGAGGTTATAGGGCTGAAGGCAACGCAACTGAAACGAGAACGTGTGAAGAGAATATTGTGATCCCAGCACAGAAAATACTTTTTTTTTTTTTTTTATATCTGAAGTGAATCATCTTCTTGAAAACAATCTGTAAAATGTGAAGCACATAAGAGTCCAGTTGTGGCTGACAGTCATGAGTTTGTCTAGAATAAGAAACTTATGGCAGTGGGAGTTCATATTTGCATTTTTGTAGTTTGTGTAGGAGTGAGACTTTAGAGCCATTAATTTCATACCAATATTAAATGTAAAATGTTATAGTAGAAACCAGTGTGTGGATTAGCTTAACACAAAGCAAAAGAAACAAGTCAGTGTAAAATTTACAACTTGAATAAAGTTAACAGGAAAACATGAACACGTTTGGAATGTGTTCTTTGTGTTTTATTAAACATCTGCGATGCACATTTCTTTGCACGACCAATTTAAGTGAAAGATGTAAAGTGGGGTTAAAATCTGATTTGTGTGAAAATGAAACCTACGCATGATTAGGTGAATTCCCCAACTGTCACCTCATTCCAGGAAACGGGCCGTAGAGCAAACAGACACCGTACGCATCAGAGTTCCTGTTAACCTCTGAAAATCCCTTCAGCTTTTCTGTATTTCAAGCTTCTTTTTTTTTTTTTGATCTGGGTTTGAAAGAAAACTGTGGCAACAATTTGATGATTTCTTTTATTTAGAACTTCTGCATTACAATAGACTGTGGAAAAACAACAATGAATAAAGCATTTGAAACTCAATGCCCTCTTTGCACGATTAGCCGACCTCGAGACTAAGGACAAAAAAATAATTTTGCTGCATGATAGAAGCAGTGCATGAAGTTGGTTTAATTGTGAAATTAAAATGCCAACAACCATATGAGCATCATTATATTGACAACCCGTCATTATGGCACAGGAATATAAGATATTAGCATCAGAGATCAGCGACTGTAGTCAAAATCAAACAGGAATGACTTGTGTTCTTCTTCTCCGCCTGTCCGTCCCTGAAATGTTACATATGCTGACATTTTGTGGTTCATATGAGGAAGGACTTGAAATGAAAAAACTTCTATTTACTCACAGTTTTTTAAGGAACCTAACCATTTTATGCATTGCCCCACAACAAGCCAGAACAAAGCAAATATCTGTTGGTTTAAATATTCACGTCAACCTCCATCAGATCGGCACACGTTTGAAATTCACACAGGATACGAGTTCAGTCACATAAAAAAAGGATAATTCAGTCTGCCGGTAAAAAAAAAGGCTAAAGATTAGGCTGGGGCTGGTACCATAATCTGGTTTTTTCCCTTCCTGAAATGAACAGGAGCAAATGCTACAACTCAAATATACCTGAAACAGAATTGAAGCCACTTTGTAAGGAATGAACTAGAAGTGCGAATGATGCTCACATTGAAGTTAAAACTGAATCACATTTACAGATGTGGAGACTGGTCAGGGAGAGATATGGGAGGAATACTGGTTCACAAATCCCTAGTTAACTTTGCCATAAGCTGCTTAACAAAGATCAATAATTTAATGGAAATGGCTCCTCGAAGCGAAAAGGGATCTCCAAAGTTTCTGGCCCACAGTTACTGTTTGTTGGTCCACGGTGAGGAAATGCTTCAGCTCCTTTCCCTGACCACTTGTGTGTGAGGACCGACTTTGATTATTGTCGTTTTACCGCAGCGGTCCTCTGGGATAGACACCGTCATGATGTGGGGGGCGATGAGTTACATAAGCTCTACGTAATTGGCTGGGAACATCCCAAAATGACCGTCTGGGCCATATCCTCGCCACCAGCCCTCGTCTATCATTTCGATTCCGGTGAGGATTTCATCGGGATCAAAAGAGATCTCTGTGTCATCAGCTGAAAGAAAAGAGAAACTGGGTGATAAAATCATGAGAAAAGTTCATGTGTGGTTTTAAAACATTGCACACGGTTCAAAAACAACCAGTACATGTGCAGCATATGTGGCACAGGTACCATATCCATCAACGCTGGACAATATGTGCAGGTTCTGGAGCAAAACATACTGCCACCCAGAAGAAACCTTTTAATTAGAGGCTTGTTTGTTTCAGCCAGACAAAAACAAAACGCACCGAGCACACAGCAGCAGCACAACCAGAGTCCAGGTGTTAAACTGACCAGCCTGCTGAAATCCTGCAAACTAAGCCAAAAAGTTATAAAACGTTCTGCTCTTAAAATAACTCCTAGCATGTGTCAATGTGTAATTTGAAGAGGAACTAATGAGAATATCCTTCTTTTCTACTTTTTAAAGAACTTTCGGAACAAACTGACGTCAAAAAGGACCCTCATCAGTATGCATACCGTGAGAACCGATCAACAGAGGATGCAATCTCCTCTGTGGTCCACACTGCGCTCAACCACCTGGAGCAGAAAAACTCTTACGTCCGTATGCTCTTTGTGGACTTCACATCTGCCTTCAACACCATGATCCCCAAACCCTGATGGACAAACTATCCACACTAGGACTAAGCCCCTCCATCTGCAACTGGGTACTAGACTTTTTAACAAACAGACCACAGTTAGTGAGGATCCACAACCTCTCCTCCTCAACCATAACCCTCAGCACTGGCTCTCCTCAGGGATGTGTGTTGAGCCCCCTCCTGTTTACTCTGCTCACATATGATTGTGCAGCTACCCATCCAGGCTGTCACATTGTAAAGTTTGCAGATGATACAGCGGTGGTGGGATGCATCACAAACAATGAGTCCAGCTATAGGCAAGAGGTGGAACACCTGGAGAGCTGGTGCAGAGAGAATAACCTTCACATCAATGTGAAGAAGACAAAGGAGATGATTGTGGACTTCAGAAGGAACAAAAACACCTACACCCCCCTGAACATAAGAGGATCTGCGGTGGAAGTGGTCTCCAGCTACAAGTACTTGGGTGTACACATGAATGACAACCTCAGCTGGAGCAACAACACCACCAGCCTGATCAAGAAAGCTCATCAGAGACTCTACTTCCTCAGACGGCTGAGGCGAGCTGGTCTGGGAAGCTCAGTCCTCACCTCCTTCTACAGGTGTGCAGTGGAGAGCATCCTGTGCTCGAGCATCAATGTGTGGCATGGAGGCTGCACAGCTGCAGAAAGAAAAGCTTTGCAGAGAGTGGTGAAGGCTGCACAGAAATCTGTCGGAATCAGCCTCCCCACCATCACAGACATCTACACCTCCAGATGCAGGAAGAGGGCCACCTGCATCATGAAGGACCCCACTCACCCAGCACACACACTTTTTGCCCCACTCCCCTCAGGAAGGAGGTTGAGGAGCATTAAGTGTAGAACCACTAGACCGAGGAACAGCTTCTACCCTGAGGCTGTTAGACTCATGAATCTCTAACTAGAATAATCACTGTGAAAAAATCACATCATGTTGCTGCTGATCTGTTTCATGTTGCTGCTGATCTGTTTCATGTTGCTGCTGATCTGTTTCAATGTTGATGTGTTCATGCGTGCACATCTGCTCACAGACTCATGTTCATGTTTGTGCTGATGTTCAATGTTTTTATGTTATGAGTGCTTAGTGTATATTTAGTTGATGTTTTTCTTAGTTCATATCTTAGATGTTATTACTGTTTTTCTTATACATTTTATTGTTGGATGTAACTGGGACCTTGTGTACATAATTTCGCTCCACCACATGTACCACATGAGGTGCGAATGACAAAGAAACTCTGACTCTGACTCTCTGACTGACAAAAAATCATTTTCCAAATACATCACCTACAGTGATTTTGTAGTTTATTGTAGGAACCAATGATACTACTGGTGCCACATGTTCACGGTGGTGTAGATTAAAGTTAGTGTTCAGTGTACAGTTTTCGGTGCCTCTCAGCTGCCACTGCTGCAGTAACACTGACACTACTGCATACTCCATTCCAAGCCACGATATCGCCTCTCACTGACGTGGTTGCGTGACCAAGATTACTTCATTTTGTTCAGAGTAGCTTCGCCCGCCTCTTCTCGAGACGAGGCCTGGGGTCGAACATTTTCTCACAAGAGTATGCACAAAGTGTGTGATTGGTCAGAAGTTGCGGGCGTGTTTGTCAATGCGGAAAGACGTTTCATCCATACGACTCTTCAAAACACACTAAATTAATCAAATGGCTAGAAACTCCTGGATGGAGTTGTCACGTATACTGCAGCGGGAAGGGTTTCCCAGGAGCTCTGCGCCCTGAGTCTTGTGAACTAGAAAAGATGTGCGCGAGAAACATTCTGCAACCACGTGAACGCGAGCCGCCTGTTCAGTTTCAAATGGTGCGTGTAGCGCCCTTAGGACAAGGCAGATGAACAATGAAAGGCAATGAATGGAGCGCACCTGCAGATAAACAGTTACAGCACACATTATCACAACGTTCTGGTCAGAGAGACCAGTTCTACATATCACACACCCCACTGTAAAGAAAGTGTTTTTATAAAGTCATTTTTGTTTCTTATAAATACAGTGAGAAATCATTTGCTGGGCTAATGGTCATCTTTTATTACTGGAAAAGGTCACAATCCAAGTTTAATGATGAGTTTGTTGTTTTTAAAAACTTGAGTTGTTTAGTGACTACTATAGTAGATTAATTGCATAAATCTTGAATTGCCACAGTAAAAAAAAAAAACTTACCAGCCTGATAGTCATATAGTGCTCTGGCACAGATCCCTCGGTCTGAGGTTTCCTCCACAGTCGCTTCGTATAAGTTAGTCTCCTCCACCTGTGAGAAAAGCGACGCTAACTTTCAGATCTGGTCATTTGGTGGAAGAACGGTGCACTGCTGTGAGAGGAGTTAAAAAATATAAAACCCACCAGAGCAGGCTCTTCATTAGTAGGCTCTTCATTAGCAGGCTCTTCGTTAGCAGGCTCTTGAACGTGCGAGCTGGCAGCTGGAGCCTCCTCTGAAATAATGAAAGAATATAAAATATGAGTGTGTGTGTGTGTGATCACAGCTGCCAGCAGGTGGCAGCAGAAGCAGCTGGAGGAGAGAAAATTCAACGACCACTCAAAACTTTTACACGAAACCAGATGGAAGGATTGGGAACACTTAAGCTGATGCTGTGTGAAATGACCCCCACCTTTCCTCGTCTCCTGGGGAGGTGCCTCCTGCTCCTCATACTCACACGTGGACTGTCCATCATCCACGTCAGGCTCTTATTACCCAAAACACAAGCACAGACATGCATGTACTGTGGAAAACATTCACAAGTCCACACAGGCTGAACACCACCAGTCTGAGGCAGAACATGTACAATGCGTTAAAGATTAATAACAATAAAGCAGAAAGCTAAACAAAGGAAACGTAATGGAAGCATAATAAAGAAGGAATGTAGCATTAAAGAAACCATGGACAGGATGACAACACAAATGCATAATGTTGACAAATGAAACTGAGCTTTTGTTGAATGAGTGTGACACACAATACTCTGTAAAAACCACCAACACTGAGGACTGGGCGTCCTTTATTTGACCTTCTTGGACAGTCTAGCTTCTAAAATGAGCCAAGTTCTTTTTTTAAAAGCAGCATAGCCTCATACCGTAAGCATTTTGTAAAATGGTTGTTAAAATTAGTTGTTATATATTTGACTTAAGGCAACAGGTCAGATCTTTTTGAAGTTGGCTTTTGTGGAAAGATCGTGCAAAAATATTTGTACCTGTTTTAGAGTTTATATGTTTTTGTGTTGATGAGCTAATGGTTAGACCAAGCAAGCCCAGACCAATGTCTCCTGACAGGCTGCAATCCTAAAATATCTTCAAACACAAAAATTCCTCTGAAGTTCATGCAAATAATATTTTACAAAAGACACTGCTGGTAGTTTCACATTACCGTATTTTTTGGCCTATTAAGTCCATCCATCCATCCATCCATCCATTATCTTTACCCGTTTATTCCATTTTGGGTCAGGGGGGTCGCCGGTGCCCATGTCCAGCAATCACTGTGCGAGGGGCGGGGTACACCCTGGACGGGTTGCAAGTCCATCACAGGGCCACACAGAGACAAACAACCATTCACTCTCTCACTCACACCTAGGAACAATTTAGAGTTACCAATCAGCCTAACATGCATGTTTTTGGTCTGTGGGAGGAAACCGGAGTACCCGGAGAAAACCCACGCATGCACGGAGAGAACATGCAAACTCCACCCAGGAAGGCCAGTCGCGTTGTTTTTTTGTTTTTTTTTTGCATAATTTGCATGCCCTGTGACTTAAAGGCCAAAGCGACTTATTTATGGATTTTTCCCCATATTTAAACCAATTTTTGGCTGAGATATGACCGTTTTCATTTATTCTGACTGAAAACATTGAACACTACCATTTTCAGCTGCTAGGTGGCACTCGAGCAGTATGGCATGCCGTTGTGTCATGTAATAGGGAAAAGTGGCTATTAATGACACAATCTCCTTGCCACAGCCTGCCACCTTCGTCCAGCTCGCCTGGAGCAACCGTCAAATCAGCTTCATTTCGCTGCACCGCTCCGGTGAAATGCAGCTGATTTGACCATTAAAGTGCATTTATTAAGGAAAAGTTCAACTGCGACACACCTTTGTTATAATGTGGAGTAAACAAATAATTGTTTTTAAGTGTTAATCTTGTTAAATTCTTGTTAAAGTCCTCCCGTGACCAACATTTGGCAGCCCATCGATTTTTGGCACAACACCGGCCCACGTTTCCGGGTTGTCAGCGGTGACGCATAATAGATGTGATGTACACGGTGAAGTTACGCATTTATAGATTTTTCACACTTTATTAGACAAATTTGGACGGATGTGACTTATAGGGCGGTGTGACGTGTGCGGCGAAAAATACGGTCCTTGGTTATTTCCTAAGAACTCTGGATATTTACAAGAACAGACAGCAGCAGCGAGCTGTAGCACTTCTGGTGCAGCCTGTGACACTTCAACCTTTATTTAACCAGGATAGTCCCATTGAGATTAAAAACCTCTTTTTCAAGGGAGACCTGGCCAAAAAAGACAGCAGCTAATAAAAATTATATTCATCACATCAGTCGAAACAACAAAAGTAAAACATCTACAGCAAAACATTTCTGCCAGAATAACCATAAACTGCAAAACTGACAGCAGATTAGCAGATTTATAAAACACTGTTCATGTGAACTGCTTACAAATCTTTGAGGCACAAGTCTGTATGGATCCCCTTTGGTCTGGGCCCAGCTCGGACTACTAGCTCATCATGTAACGTTATTTCTTCAAAGAGCCTTCTACAACAGGTAAGATATTAACCGCTCCACTATCTTTCCACAGAACCACACTTAAACAGATCTGAACTATCCCTTTATGTTTGAATGTTTTGTCAAGTGTCAGAATTTTGGTGTCCACATACAATTCTGGATTAAGCTTGCTAAAAATGAACATTTTGAGATTATATTTTAGCCTCATATAGAAATAAACAAACCTTTCTATGAGGCTTTTACTGCAGTGGGTGTAAAGGAAACATTCATTTCAGCATTTGGTTTTTGCAATTAAAAATGTTTTACAAACTAGAGAGTTCTGCTGCTTTCCAAATAGATCAGTCATCAAGAAGAAATATTTAGGTAATTAGTACAAAATAGACGAGGATTGAAAACTTTACGATTAAAATTGACACAAGATTGTAATCTGGTGTTTCACCAGCACTACTCATCCTTCATGTACTCCAAGGACAACTTCACAGTGTGAGTGTTCTTGTCTCAAGCGTTGTACAAATATATATCAGTGTGTGTGTGTGTGTGTGTGTGTGCGTGTGTGTAAAGCTCACACCTGTGGCGCAGACAGGAAAGGCAGAGCCTGCTGATACAGGAGCAGAAGCATGGCGCTGAGGGGAGCTGGCTCGCTCAGATTCGTACACTTGCTTAGACAGAAACGGGCTTTGAAGACGCCCTGAGCAGACAAACACATTGACCCCCGACGCATGCCAACAATGATGAGGGACAACAGAGAGCAGACAGAATGAGCAGAGGAACAAACAGGGTTATGAAGACAGATTTAGGTGTGACTGATTAAAAACTAGACAGTCTGATGAGAAGTTTGTAATCAAAAAGTTTGGATGGAAGCTGAGAAAGTTTCGCAGTGCTCTGTGACAGGTTGTTGCATTTGAAGCTAAAGTGAACAGGAAGAAGTCCCCGTTTCTGCGGGGACGATACCTGGCTGAGGGCTAGCAGGGGCGGCAGAGGACACGCCTGAGTCAGTGGGGGGTATCCCCTGCTCTCTCTGTTTGAACATCTCCCTGGGATTCACAGCACGCTGCGAGATGAGGGAGGCAGCCTCCTATAAAAATAAAGTCACAAATACAAAAACTAAAGATCAGGACAAGGATTAAAGTAGCAGTGAGTGTTAATGATAAATAAATTGATCAGTGTTACTGAAAGAGGTCACGAAAGACAGAGACAGAAAAAACAGGCGCTCCACTGAGTTTTGAAGAGCTCAGATTTGAGTTGAGAAATTTTCATCTGAAGAAAGAAAAGAGACTCCGTTGGGTGGTGGAGTGAGGTTTTAGGAAGGGGAACTCACATTGGCTTTTTCCACAGACTCCCCTCTCCTGACTGCTTTCCTCTGGGCTGCCTGGTTCTCCTGCTCCTCCTCCTGATGACGTTCATAAGAACGTTGGCACTACTGACATTTTCTCACTTCCCGACTAAAATGCTTACAACATGTTTGCACTGGCACTTTTTTTTTTTCTTTTTCCCAGCAATCAACATAATTTGACAGAAGTAAATGCCACATCGGTCAACATCTGTTCTTCGTGTCTCTGTCAGCTGGCTTCACAGCTGGAAGTCATTTAATCCAAGTGCTACTGATGAGTAATGGTACAGAGATGCTCACCCACTGTTGTTTTTCCTGCTCTTTACTTTCAGCTTCTAGCTTCTGCTGGTACTTCCTAAGAAATGCAGGAAAAGCCATGAGACTTTTAATGAACATTATAACAAACCAACCTGGGCTTTTTCCTTCATCTTACTTCTGCTGGTCGATTTGAGAAGCCCTCTCCTTGTCTCTTTTCTCCCTCACTACTGCCTCCTTGGCCTCTCTGTCCTTCCTCTCCTTCTCCAGATGATGGCGCTCCTCTTCGGCTTTGCGTCGCTCCTCCTGCCGGCGTTTCTCCTCTTCTTTCTGAAAGCCCAACGGGGAGGTGAGTTGAGAACTGCTTTGATATTAGATGCCATTAAAAAGGCTGAAGTTACATTGGACAGGGACAAAAGGACCACTTTCAGTATCACTGACAGATGTGAAAATAAACCAAAAATGCACAAATTTACAGACTTAATTGTCTTTTTGATATTTATAAAGACTTCAGTTGTGCTTTATGACGCTCTGATCTACAGATCTGAGCCATTTGATTTCATTAAATATATGCTGACACCATGTCTTGCTCCAATATGCATGTTTTTTCCTTATAGCCATCAACTGTAAATTACAAGCCATGAGCACACTGAAGTGGATAAAACCTCAACAGGTTTGCAAAGCAGGGAGCAAAAGGTTTGTTTTTGTTAAATAGTTGTTTCTCTAAGCATATTGTGTTAAAACAACTGCCGTATCATTATTCTAGTACTTTCAAATTGTGTGGTTTGTTCTGAGAAGATGAATAAAATTTGACCATCTAAAACAACTCAAATCTTAAACTTATAGCGGTTTCAGGAAATTCTATATACCGTATTTTTAGCCATATAAGTCGCACCTTTAGGCATTATTTGCAAGTCCTGCGACTTATACACCAACGCGACTAATGTATGCTTTCCCCCCAATATTTATAACCCAATGTTTGGCTGAGATATGACAATTTCATTCATTCCGACATGGAAAATATTGAACACTACCATTTTCAGCCACTAGAGGGCCTTTGAGCAATATGGCAAGCCAAGTATCTCATTAATAGCCACTTTTACCTATTAATGAGATACTTGACTTGCCATCCTGAGTCACCTTTGGCTTACTCTGGAACTCCTGGAGCAAATGTCAAATCAGCTGCATTTCGCCGCACCGCCCAGTAGGAATGCACGATATATACTGCACACGATAGAAACAATAGACATTTAGCCTATGATGGAGATCTGTATTTTACTGGTTAACCACAGTAATGCTGTGTCTGTGTAAAATCAGAGTTGTCAGATTTAATCATTACTTTTTTTAGTTAAAAACTGTGCATAAACGGTGCTAAAGTCCTTTCTTCGAGAGCCAAATAGTAAAGCTACAAGCTAACTACGACCGGCTTGCCGTACTCTTATTCGGACACATGTGCAAAATGCTGTGTTCCGTCAAGTTTTTTTTTTTTTTGTCTAAAGTTTGTTGGTCAGCTTTAAAGAGTGCGTTTGTGTGTTAAAAAAAGGGTTAAACCTGCTCTGTGATCTGTGAAAGAACGCTGTGTTGTGTGATTTTATTGCGAGACCCTCTGGTCAGAGCCAGAGGAAACTGGTCGCCATTTTGTGTCAGTTCTCCTTAAAGCAGAAGGAGACACCCACTAGTGGGTTGGAGGGTGAAGTGTTTCAGTGTGAAATGCTGCTCTGTTGCTGTTCATTTCTGAAGTGAAAATACTGGAAACTGTTAAGAGTTAACAACATATTCTATTGTTTAAAACAAATGGCTAAAACTACATTTGATATCTTTTGCACTGTTTTGCACTACAAGAAAGAAGCCTAATACTTGATTTGTTTATTATTTAAAAACTCTCTGGAACTAGTAGTGGAATTTTCTTAAATGAGATTATTTTGTGGTATAGTTTTCAAAATAAATTATGGCAAAAAGACACCATATGCTTTTTTCCCCCCATTCCTATTGCAAGTTTTATACCAAAAACATATTGTGATATATATTGTTACCGCCACTCTTCACAATACATATTGTGATATTAATTTTATGCCATATCGCACACCCTACTGCCCAGGCAAAATGTGGCTGATTTGACCATTAAAGTGCATTTATTAAGGAATAGTTCAACTGAGACAAACCTTTACTATAATGTCAAGCAAACAAATAATTGTTTTTAGGTGTTTATCTTGTTAAATTAAATTTTTTTTAAAAAGCACAGCAAGCCATCCTTTTGCGTGCTCCAGCAGCAGCAAACTGATTTTTGAAATGCAGCTGATTTGACCGTTAAAGTGCATTTATTAAGGAATAGTTCAACTGAGACACACCTTTGCTATAATTTTGAGCAAACAAATAATTGTTTTTAAGTGTTAATCTTGTTAAATTCTTGTTAAAGTCCTCCCGTACATGCTCCCGCGACCACCATTTGGCAGCCAATCGATTTTTGGCACAACACCGGCCCATGTTTCCGGGTTGTCAGCGGTGACACATAATAGAACAAAGCAACTTGTTTGTTTTTTTCAACATTATTAGACATTTTTGGACTGATGAGACTTATAAGGCGGTGCGACGTGTACGGCACCAAGTACGGTAATATAATTTGAACGCCACAAAAGCACATTCAGTTTACAAAGTTTGCGTCACAAATACGCTTTGATGGGACAATACAAACAAAAGAACAACTATTAGAGGATAAGAAAAGTTGCCACAACTTTCTGAGGATCTGTATTTTGGTGCAGCTCATGTAACACAACAGAGAAAAATGTCTGGAGTTGAGGTTTACTCAGTGGAAGAAGGCAAAGTAACTTAAAAACTGCTCTGACCCAAACTCCTGATTCAGTGATTTATAATTTCTCACAGTGACAATTTCAGACGGCTGTTTTTGGGTATGTTTATCTGTAGTTGTCTGTAAAGTCCTGTTAGCGTACCTCTGCTTGTGCCCAGAAGTTGTCTTTATTGGTCTTTCTGATTTCTGACATCGCGTTGGTTTTCTGGTACACTGATCCCTGCAGGAAGAATAAAACCAAACATTTAATTATGAGCGTATCAGCATGAAAGAACAGAAAAACACAGCGATGTAGCCGAACCTGGCAGCTGAGCTTTTAGAAAAATACAATAACTTTGTTATGGAAATGGCTGATGAGTGGGTTCCTTTTCATTTCATTATTATTATTTCTTTTTTACAATATTCGCCCATTTGCTGAAGAAATTAAATAAACCAAATTATGTCTTGATTCATAAAATAAAGCTTTATAGTAGATAATGACCAGAAATTTTACCCAATTCAGTGCATTTTAACAAGACTTTTGGTACGTGTAAGAAAACAAAACAAAACATTTCTAGCTTTTTGTGACTCCAAGTTCATAAAACAGAAGTATTTCCATCATACAGGGCTCTTTAATGAGCCTAGTTAAACTAGCTTCCACAGCTTTCTTTATGTCAAAGAGAAACAAAAAGCTGTGCCTACCACAGGCCCCTGAGGACCGCTGTCCTGGAAGCGGCTGGAAGCTTCTTTATGAAAGTTGTAGTTCGCTCCTGATGCTTTAGCCACCTTCTGCATGATCACGTCCGGCTCCACATCTTCATCTGCTCTGGCATTAACAGTGACGTGAGCCCCCTACAACACAGAAATGACACACACAGAAGTCTTTATATAAACAAACACAAAGAAACAGTTTTCTGTCTTGACTGCAGCGGGCATGAGTGAAGCTGAAACACCGAAGACAGGATACTCATTAAAAGACCCACAATATTACGATGTTCTAAGAGAGTGCTGAAAAGTTACGGTTTGAGTTTAAAAGTTTATTTTGACCTTACAAACAACAGATTAAGAAATTATTGTTGGTAATTTAATTGACATGATGCCGCCTGTCAATCATTCTAGTAGGCTCTTCAGCAACTGACCAATCGGCGAGCATAGTTTGTCCTGAAGTGAACGCCCCTTACCTGCAGGAGCTCCACCCCCTTTTCCTCCAACAACATCGTCAGGGTTTTACATTTTGAACACGTTGCAGTCGGATGGATTTCATAAAAAATCTTCGGAAAAAATGGTTAAACGTTGTCGGTGGAGGACGTAATTCAGACACGCGTTACACTCAACATTTAGAGGGTGAAATACAGTTTATTACATTTCCAAAACCTAAACGGAGTCTGTAGAAATGTAAAAGATGGATAAAGGCCGGCAGCTGACCTCCTGAGCAGCTCAGAACAGGAAGTACTACATGTTCCTTGTACAAAGGTAACTGCAAAGAAATCCTCCATTTTGTGTCATAATGACATCATATGCTTAATGGTTTAATTTAAGGTTAATGCTTAAAGTTAGTTGTGCTTTGTTTTATACTGTATGTAGATATATTTTGCAACTTCTGGTTACATAAGTTTAGTCTTTGTTTGCTATAATTAGGGTTGAATAACTTTGGAAAATATTCTAATTGCGATTTTTTTACATCAATATTGTGATTTAATGAGAGATAATTTTTCAATGTCTTCTCGTGTATTTTTCAATGAACAAAAGCAATAAATCTGTTTCAGTTGCAAAAAAAACCTCCACTGTTTTCAGCTCCGCTGCAACTTTGTTTCTGCATTATTTGAATTAGGGGTTGAACAACTACATAATTTTTAAACTCGACATTAACATAATAAAGCTCGAGTAGAACTCGAGTAGTTTATGACATCATAGGATCTAAAGATACAAAAATAAATAAATAAAAAATAAAACCGCAAAAAAAACGTAATTTATTTTTTATAAAAAAGACCAACAAAACATTAGGAGAGCATATTATGCTCCTACCATGTATCAAACTGCAAATAAGTCACAGGAAAACCAAAATTATTAGTTATTATTATTATTATTATTAAGCTGTAAAAGTGAAGAAACGTGCAGCACGTAAAAAATGAAACTAAAAACAGTGGTGCGGTCGACCACCCCGCACCACCACCAGCTGCGGTGCGCATTAAGTTTAGTTTTAGAGATTAATATGATTATAGGTTTTTAAAGGTTTAGAGATTAATATTTGTTTCTTTTAGTTTGTGAAACAAGATCAGAGGAAGCTGGTTCTGTTGATTGGACCCGGTGTTACACCATATACTGTGACCTGCAACAGTGCATGCAACACCACCCCCTACGGTCACAATGTACAGTGGTCACAGAATATGGTGTAACACCGGTTCGCAACGAGCTCCAAACAGTCAGGAAGTTGATTCATTTTCTGTTTCCTTACAGTAGTTGAACTGGAAGATTCATCTTTAGTGAAATATTTCCAGACTACTGATGCATTTCTACCCGTTTGCCAAGACTGGGCCTGCTCCGCTCAGTCCATCTGCTGGGAATCCATTTGGTAGCTTCTACTAGTAGCCTGGTGCGGATTACGTGATGCAATGACGTCACTGCAAATACTCGACGTGAAATTTTAAAACTCAGTAGATGTCCTAGGAATCGAACTGTCAATTACTCGAGTAGTCTGTTAAAGCCCTAATTTGTATAGTTCCAGGATAGCAACTTGGCTAAAACGTGTGCGCGAGGGCATTCTGTACTGCTTATCTATTGTGTTTAACAAAGCCATAACCCAGGCCTGGTCACTATATTAATGGGCATCAGGTCTTTTGCTATGAACTCCGTTATTGCTTTAGATATTGCATGAGTTATTTCTGCGTGCAGTTTCGAATTATGTTCATATGAGTTACACCTTCGAACAGTTCAATCAGTGATCCCTGTCAGCTGGTACTTTGCTTACTTGAAGTTGAAGCACTGGTCATTGGCTTTCTAGCCATGCAACTATCATAAATAGATTTGTGGTGTTTTTTTAAGTATTGATAAAGATTTATGGTGTTGCCTCGAGAGGTAGCAACAGCAGCAAGGCAGGTTCTGCACAATACATGTCGTTGTGCAGTCTTTTTTATAGCCAAAATAATTCTAAACAACGGACGTGCTGCCCCTTTTTGGTGCCAAACTTTCAGATGTATCAGCTTCTGTCGAGCCTGATGCCATTGTGCAACTGGTTAAAGAGCAGTCTTGACTTATCCCGCTCCCTGCTCTGCTTTGCCCCCGTAACCAGATCACGTGACCAATCAAATCGCAGCCTTTGCGATTAGAAAATCTCATTTTATCATGTTGCAATATTATTGCAAATGCAATTACCATATTTTTGCTGTATAAGTCGCACATTTTTGCATAAATTAGCAGGCCCTGCGACTTATACAGTGAAGCAACTTGTTTGTTTTCCCCCCATATTTATAACCTTATTTTTGGCTGAGATCTGACGATTTCATTCATTCTGAAATGGAAAATATTGAACACAACCATTTTCAGTCACATGAGGGTGCTCGAGTATTATGGCAAGCCAAGTGTCTTATTAATAGGTAAAAGTGGCTATTAATGAGACACTTGGCTTGCCATCATAGCAAGCCACCTTCATCTCACTCCGGAACTCCTGGAGCAAACGTCAAATCAGCTTCATTTTACGGCGGCGCCCAGGTGAAATGCAGCTGATTTGACCATTAAAGTGCATTTATTAAGGAAAAGTTAAGACTGAGACACACTTTCACTATAATGTCGAACAAATACTTGTTTTTAAGTGTTAATTCTGTTAAATTCTTGTTAAAGTCCTCTTTTGCACGCTTCTGCGGCTGCCATTTGGCAGCCAATCGATTTTTAGCACAACACCAGCCCATGTTTCCAGGTGGTCAGCGGTGACGCATAATAAATGCGACCTATATGGCACCGTGACGTGTACGGCGGCAAGCATGGCAATTGTTCTGCCCTAGCTATAACAAGTTAAAATGAAAACTAATTGTGCATGGAGTGTTTATTAGGTTGTGTGAAGTAAAATTTACACTCAATGCATATTGAATTTCACTGTGAATTATTGTTGCCCTGCAGTATGAAACATCCACTGCTGTAACTATTTTAAGTTGTTGGTACCTTTGAAATGTTTTTTTTTTCCTGTTTTATTTGTCTTAATGTTGGCTGATCAGGCAGAAATACCGCCACCATTAAAGCTATCTTTATTTGTTTGTTTGTCAGAGGCTAGCTCAGCCTGGGTTACATTTCTGCATGGGCAGAGCGAACTTACCGTAAGCATCATGTTAATTGACTGCATAACTAATTTCATCATGAGCATTTTACGTGAGCTGAAGGTGAACATTTAAACAGCATCATTTGCCAGCTTCCACACCAATCAGGAAGGTGTAATTTCTTTTAATATTTTGAATCGGTGTGCTACAACTGCCATAAGAGTACATTAAGTGAACACAAACTCAAGCTAAAGCAGATATCTGACATACACAAACATTGCAAAATAAAGAAGAAAGAAGAAGAAAGTTCTTTGTGTTGTTCCCATACAATGATGAAATTAATTCTCTGCATTTAACCCATCACACCTGAGATACACCCAGGTGGAGCAGGGGGCAGCTATGCAAGCACCCGGGGAGCAATTAGGAATACGAGCCATGCCCACGACATGTGGGCATGGCTGGGAGTTGAACTGTAACATTTTGGTCTCAAGCCAGCTTCCCTACCTCTACACGACCACACCTGCCCCATATTAAAAATAAATAAAATAAACTCAGCCTTCTTTTGATTAACGGTACTGTTCTTGGTACCTGACTGTTCTACTGTAAATACTGTAATTTTTTGCAGAAAGTGCAGGTCCTCCAATCAGCACGTGCCTTACAGGTAGTCAAACTGCTTATTGAGTTAAAATGTAATAGTTTAAAAGTCATTTGCCTTTATGCTGAGTAACACTAGAAATAATGTGCTTCTTAAGCCCCATTCCTTTTTTACCTTCAGAAAATTGGCTATGGAGCTCACGTGATTTGCACAGATTCCCTTCCTTGCATCTTTGACTCCTTCTCCAGTCTAAAACAGAAAAACAAAGAAAGTTTAAAGTGTGGTCATCACAGAGGAGTAATTAAACGCAGAAAGGCTGACGGCAGCGACTAACCCAGTTAATGAGGACATATTTGGGCAGACCAGAGTTAGGATCCTGGACCCGGCAGAAAGCGTACATAACTTTTCCACTGTTGAGTTCTTCAACCAGCTCCTCGAGTCCTCCATCTGATACATAAACAATGTGGAAAAGTTAAATGGCAGCTGTGGTTTGTTGTGTAACTGTGGACATGTTTCCCCCTTTGCAAATGATGGGCTCAAAAAGCAGAGGCAAGCAATTCTTTTGTGCTGACTTTCTAGCTCTGCAGCTGCATGCCGATGGCGACAGATTCCCACACACATTTGGTAATATCATGCTGGCATATTTAATGAAAATAATATCCACTCGGGTATTCACCTCCTTTTTCTGCCAGGCGGATGTCATTACTGTTTCCCTCATAGGTGAACAAGGCCCTGTAAAAACCAACGATTAAGGTGGTTAAAAGGCAGCACTAAAGATGCATCACTTCTCACTCGACAAGGGATGTTTTGTAAATTTATTCTAAGCATGTGTGACACTTAATCCACGTTCACACTAAACTTTATAAAGGAAGTAAAGTGGTATAAACATATCAGCTGTTTTAAAAATATGTTGGCAATCTTCACATGCTGCTTTGCTCCTGTCCGGATAAAATATGACTGAACTTTTATGGCTATTAAAACATTCACTAAAAAGTAACTTTGGCTTCTCCAACTTTATCAAAAACTAGAAAAAAATTGTTGTACCTGGAAAGCTTTAATTTGACAAAGTCAAACTTACTGAAACAGCTGTAGGTGAAACATTCTATTCAGACTACAAATGCTTTGCAAAAAGAGTGAAAACTTGCAAAATATTGTTTTTTAATAAGCGAATACTGCTGCTATAGTTATGGCTTTGACAAATTTAGGAGTTTGAAGGTGAACTCTTGGTAAATATAAGAATAAATACAATATTTACCAACTTGTTTGACGCAAATATCTGAATTGGACTTGTTTTGTCTCTGCAAAATGCCCTGAGGTGATTTTTTTTACATGAACTGGCATCATATGAATAAAACTCGTGATCTGAGCTCTATGTTTGTGTTAGACAGAATATGACGAATGAAGAGACTGCTCAGCAGATCTGATAAAAACCTTCAACAGCAGTAAGAGATCCCTTCTCGAGGTGCATCTTTAAATCTTTTTCCTGGTGGAAACCAGTGTTTGCTGATGTAAACCTGAGAGTAAAATCCAGGGCTGACTGTAAGACAGGACGCCTGCAGCGTTCAGTCCTCCAGCTTCCTATTTGCACACTGAGAAAAGCATCTCAGCAGAAATGAAAACTTGCTCACTCTGAAATAGTCAATGCAAGACCACTTCTTTCGTTCTTCCCTTTTCCTATCAGTACAATTTAAGAACAAATAAACTACACCAAAATGGTGTTTCTGAGTTAGCAAATAAAGTGCCTACTGTGTGAAATATGTTGTCATTGAAAACTAAGAGGACTCCCTCATGGTTGCTCTTTTGGTTTAATTAATTAAGGTCACAATTAAACACTGAAGCTGCCATCTATGGGTTTACACAGGTTCCCACAGACATTTATACAATCTTAAGGTGACACTCCTGTAACAATGGCTAACCTAAAGAGGAAGTGACTGAATTTACTTGCAACATATTTAGTCATGTTTAACCTCTGATGTGCTATCAGGAAGTGGTGTAGCTTTCTTTCTCACTCCGTTATATCACTCAAAACCTAAAAATACACGTGAATTACTTTTAGTTGTGAAGTTACACGAATAGTAGCTAACTAACCATGTTACCGCCTATATATATAGATATAGATATGTTAGCACATCCTCCATCGGGCATGTTTAACACATGAAGGTGAATCATTACTAAAATAAATACGCTCTCATGACAACAAAAAACTGTCTTAATTCGAAGCTCGTCTTTCCTCGGGAAGAAAACCACCCAATGCTGTGAAAGAAAAACGTTAATTTTACACTACGGTTTAAGTTTATCCAACATTTAAGGTTAACTTACTCTGACGACTGACTCAAAGCTAGCAAACTAGCTAACCAGCCCTCTCGCATAGAGCTAACGCTGGTTTTAAAATGTTGCTACTCACCAATTTGTGTTTGATTTTTCGTCTACTACTTCTTTATACGCTGCTGTTAATGCAGGGCCATTTTTACTGAGGTTTACAGCCATCGTGTTGTTGAACACAGCTATCCAGCTAGCTCTCGGGACTGCGCCCTTCCTACTGGAGGAGTGCCGCGGATGCTTACTTTTAGCTGCGGGACGCTTGTGGCTACGTCTCAGCTGAGGTCTCCTGCATTTCGATTAGCGGCACACTCCGGAAGCGCGGATCTTGTGTGCATCCTCTATAGTTGATAACTTTAATATACATGAATAGACGCATGTGTTCCAGTAATTATTTAAAAGCACGAGTCCATCACTTGAGTGAGTTGCGCTTTAATATCTCTGTTTACGCCAAATATTTTCGCGGGCACCGCTTACACGTCGCATACAAGTGACTGTATCAAACGCACCCTTGAGTCAAACATCAACAGGTAATATCAGTGGCGCGCTGATAATATCAGCCCTCTGGGCATAAACTTTTTAAAGGCCCCCCAGTTGTTAAACCGTACAAGTTCGGGGGGGGGGGGGGGGGGTATATATTTAGTTTTAGTTGGATCCAGATTTTTTTCTCATTATTTTTGTCTTTGCTGCAAATTTTACATCACCCAACTTGACCCAGTTTGCTGCTCTACAGGTTCATTCAGTAATTATGTAGCACTTTCAACATGTTCAACTCGTCAATAATTCTCCCTTTCTCATTTAACAGCTGCTACTCCTCACTTAAGATCAAGACCCCAGTCCAGCTTGGTTCTCTAGCCGCACATGGACACAGAAAACAAGTACAAACAGAAATAAACCAAGATGAGCTTTATTCTCGTTATAACAAGGTCATTATTTGTCTTGTTTAGGATCACGATGGCAGATGAAGCACATTTACTCCACATTTTTAGGATGCATGAAGTGCTGGTTCTTCGTTCCATCAAAGCCAAATACATCGGTGCTGTTGAAGCAGGTTTCCATGTCTATTAATGAAATGAACAACCCAATTTGGGGTTACCGTCATGACAGCAAAGTTACACTCAGTGACACATCCTCTATACAAAACGAGGGTTAAGGCTAGAATTTTAGTGTGAGGTGTTAGGCAGATGAATTGTGATGAAATCCCTGATATCTGGAAATGGCTGTGAGAAGGTTCTCCAGAGTGTAAAGCATGCCAAGCTGCCTAAATAAACTCTGAGCACACCGAACAGGGGATGTTACTGTTGTATCAAACGATCGAGGCTGCACTCAGTCAGAGCTGGAAGAAGTGCAAACATATTGAAGAAACAATAATGAACACAGGGTCTGATTTACTGTAATACAACTTAAAAGATAAAAATCTATCAGAGTTGAGGCTAAAGCTCTTTAAACCCATCATGCAGATTATTCAGTTCAATAATGCCTCACTATTAGAATTTTGTTCCGCTTATCTTCTGCAGCTTTTCCCTACACATTGGCATCATCAGCACAGCGAGACGTTACAAAGCACCCCCATTTACCTTTTCCTGTAGTCACAATGAAATATTAGGTATGACGTTATGTAATATTACAATCATATTCAATTTGTTGCACAAATAAAAGGAGTAATAGTCTAAAACTAAAGTTTTCAAAAATTACACAAGTCACAAATGTGCCACTCAGACAAAAAATGTTTTACTGTCAGTGTTAATAATTCCAAAATAAAATCAAAGTTTGCAGACCTACTAAACATAAAATAATGCAAAGTTTCAAATCACTTATTTAAAGCAAGTTAAAACTATCATGGCAAGTTTTATGCTCACGACTTAAAAATAATACGGGTTTTTGCTAAATGTCTGTTCTGTTCAAGTTCTGGTTTTCAGTACAAGAGACACCTGAAGACAAAAGCCATTTCACTACAGGAAAATGACAGCGTGTAAATCTCAACTTTTAAGGTTTTAAAATCACAGAGTTCAGGAAAAAGAATAAAGAAGACTTAAGAGATTAAAAACAACGAGTACTTTTACAGCATGTACTTATACTCAACACGTGGTCTCTTCAGAGAACTACGTTTTATGTTTTTAGCTGAACAGAAATAAAAACTATATTCAAAGAGATGATGTTCGGCCTGGTCATTTTTCTCACCGTGGATTAATAATGTGGTTGGGTACCTGAGAAACTGCACTGAGGAGATGGCACACAGCTACACTTTATGACAAGAAGTAGCTGTGTTTATAGCTACATCAACACAAATAAATGACAGTAGTATTTTGTGCACTATAGATACACGAGTGACTGATGGTTGTTAATAAAGTAAGGAAGGCCAATGACAGCATGTGGGGAAGGAAATGAACATTCACCAAATGGAGTTTGTCAACCAGAGAGTCCAAACAGCTGCTCTCCGGTGTCTTCCAAACCGTAATAGCACTGCTTGGATTTCACATACAGTGGACAACAGAGACGTATGTTTTGTTTTGTTGAAGCAGTTCACATTGTTTCGGGGTAGAGACAGTTCACGCCAACAGATAATCTGCTGGTGATGGCACTGCGCCATTTTTGTTTTCATCAGGGAACATGCTGCCTGAATTGCACACGTACTACAAATGTCACACAGAAAGGCCACTAAATACATGAAGTACAGTAATGACAAAACATCCAGTGGGGCACAGACCGTACCTCTGAAATGAAGGGAGAGCAAGTCTCCAACTAAACATTTAGCGTCTTTGCAACACAATCAACTCATTGAAAATGAAAACAATAAAGTGAAAATAAAGTGTACGAATAGCAACGATGATAGCGATAGCTGGGATAATGGTTTAGTCTCGGTGTGACATCAGAAGCTGTAAAGAAATTCCAGTAATCCATATGGGAGCACTTTAAGAAGTCCATCAGGTCCTGCTCTGCAGATCCATACAAGCCGTGAGGGACAGCGAATGGTAGCAGCTCAGCACACAGAAAGCCAAGTGGCACTGTACCTCAATGTAGCACTTCCTTTTGAAAACATGGGTTGTTGTTTGTTTTGTTTTTTTGTTTTCTCTTCAGTCGCTCATTTGCCTCAAGTTACAAATCCTTTGTGGTTCTTTTGTTCTCATTTGCATTTCATCCCCCTGGTGTTCTCACATTGCATACTTCTGTGTCCATTCTCTTGCTAACTTGTTGTACCTGTAACAACACGCAAAGTTCAGAGGTTTCAAGCTGAACACGGAAAAATGAAACCTTTGTCTGACAGCGGCTCTGCGGTTAACACGCTTATTTATGGTTCGCACTCACTTTTCTCTGTCAGCTTTGTATGTGTGGGCAATCTCTGGGACCAGAGGGTCATCCGGATTTGGATCACAAAGAAGAGAGCAGATAGACAATAATACTGCGAAGAAAGAAATCAGAAAGTTAAAGTTAGCAGGCGTATTTATAGATAATAGAGGAAGGGTACGGTTATGTCCGGATGAACAAGAGACCATTAAACACTTGAAATTTGATCCAAAACAGAAATAAACCCATCAGATGTATATAAAAAACTGTGACATAAATAGAATGATGTCAATACCCAGGCTTTACTTCAATTTTAACTTCCGCATTTAGCCTGTTCTTAATGCCATCTGATTCAGAACATCATTTTGTATAAAAATCATTGTAACAAGGTCCATGCTCAATAATCCAGGTATACAATCCAACAATTTTCAGTCTGGTCATCTGGACAGTTTCTTTTTTTGTGCTGAAACATTTCACCTTACATCTAGAAGGCTTAATCAGTCAAGGAAACACACAACACAAAAACTGTTGGGATTATATACCTGGATTATTGAGCATGGACTTCGTTGGTTTTGAACCAATTTGACATGACTGTCGACGAGGAAGAGGGCTGGCACCGGAGGAGGGGGCGTGCCTAAGACACCATCTTAGCACCAACACAACTGGTTTGTTCCACTTTTGAGTAAGCTGTTGGGGAAGAATCAGTTTTGTGTCATGTGTCCTTGACCGATGAAGCCTTCTGGATGGAAGGTCAGTTTCAGCTCAAAAAAAACAAAACAAAACAAAAAGAACTGTCCAGATGACCTGGCTGAATTGTTGAATAATCATTGTAATTAAAATTCAGTAACTTCCTTCAATTTGTCCTTTTATATTCACATTAGTTACAAGGGGACTGGTGGCGCAGAGGTTAGAGAAGGTGGGCCTGACGATGGGAAACAAACATCGAAGTCATGATTTATACCTGGATTATTGAGAATGAACTTTGGTGTTTTGAGCCACTTTGGCATGGCTGCCTTAGAGGAGTTGACGAGGGTGAGGGTGGGCCCCGGAGGCCATCTTATCACCAGCAAACTGTTATTTTCCCCACTCTGGGAGTGTGCCGTTTGTGGGATATAGTTTGTTCGGTGGCTCCTCAGATTTAAGAAGTTCTTTGGATGAAGGACGAAACGTCTCAGCAAAATTTAAAAAGAACCTGTGCAGATGACCTGACTGAACATTGTTGGATTTATACCTGGATTAATGAGCATGGACTTTGGTGCTTAAAGTCATGAGTAAATGTTTTATATTTTTACATTTACTTCATTTTAATGCATCTTAAAAATAAGAGAAAATGTAAACTGAAATCTGACTAATTGTGTTAAAAATACAATCAAAGAGTTGAAATAGTCTAAAAAGTAACTGGCATCATTTTGAATACTATGAATGATGGTAAAACTTTTACTAAAACAGCTTGATACATGAGAACATCTACTAACTGTCAAAAGGATTCATTGATTATATTAGACTTCTGCCATATTAAACTTGATAAAAACATTTTTCAGTACGTCACAGTTGATCCAGTCGACTTGAGACTGCATCTGTCAGGCCATAAAAAATACCATGAATTAAACTATGCAGTCACCAAGTAATAAAACATACTACATGAATGTAAGGGTTTAAGGTCAACATGCATATGTGCACACAGCCTACAGCAATCTGGGGAGTTGGAGAGTGGTGGCGCAGAGGTTAGAGAAGATGAGCCTGTGACCAGAAAGTCGCAAGTTCAATTCCCGGTACCGTAATGTCAAATTCCACCAACAATCCTACTATTTTACAATGACTTAGGTGCAACTTAAACTCAAGATCTTCATGAATACAGTGGGACAGAATCAGGATTTCAAAGCAGTGATGGAAATATATGTTACATGTATTTAGAGAAGCTAAATTAAGCTGCCAGTCCCCATCAAGGTAGCTACCATTCACTCAGAGCTCAGGCCAAAAACAAAGGGGACAGCAGTGGCACAGGTAAAACTGTACACACACACGACTCTACCTCATGATCTGTACCGACTTTAAAGAAGTTTCCTAACCCATCACTGTTGTACATTTTACATGGAAAAACAACAATTTACAAAGTGTTTATAGCAGTTGATTTCTACTAAAACAGAAGGCAAAGAATTTATGAAAGGTAGATTTTAATTAGACTGCAGGTAACTTTTTATGTCGGCTGTTGGGAGAAGGGAAACCCCATTGGAAAATTTAGAGCTAGATTACTTTTAGGGGGGAAAAAATATACAGGTATACTGCAAAAACATTTCTGGGACATTCAGCCATTAGTATGAGGTACCGTTTGGTCAGCTAATAAAACTTCTAGCTAATGGCCAGATATTAGGCTGCATTTCTTCAGACAGTATGAACACACAGAAGAGCCGCCACACGAGATGGAAGCAAGCAGGAAGCGAGTGGTTATAAAATGTTGTTGTCCTCCCCTCTCAGGAGCAGTAAAGCTCCACAGCAGAACAGTGTCGAGATGGATTGCAGGGCAGGGAGCTGTAGAGCATAGGCCAGCTGTCAGCTGCCACCAGTATGAGGGGCTACAATAGAAAATAATAAAGGACGTGGTTTTGGTGCACAACAACAGTGCGTTATCCTACGCCTCCGTCGCTCCTGTAATGCTCATTAAGAATAGAAGAGTCAATTTTAAATTTTTATTATTGCTGAAGAACAACTTTTATACTTGTTAAATCTGCGTGCATTATCAATGCACACAGCAAAACGCATTTATCCCCAATGTACAGTCTAGAATTTAAAACGAGTTACATGTAAAATGTTGTGAGAATGCTGTGCAAGAGCAATAGCAGTCTTTGTGGAAAACGGTACCCACTGATCTGTAAGCAGTTGTGTGGGAAATAAAAACATAAAAATCAAAGATTTTGCATCAAGGCCTCGTTATTGGAAGTTACTTGAGGAATAAAATTAAAGTTTAACGTTCATATAGCTACAAAAATCTGCCTATGTTCAATTAGTATTTGTTTATAAATCGGATAAGAAAACGGACCAGAAACTGAAACAATGTCTGACTGTAATTTGTGTAAACTTCTAATTAGAGCAGGTTTTCATGGTAAAGACAGACGTAAACAAAAACTCATCAACGCTGTTGGCATCGTGGCTTTATAACAGTAGATTTCTTCAAAATCTGTTAAAACTTGGTAAAAAAGAACACTGAATATTACGATACACAGAACACGTACAGTGATTTCATACTTGAGAAATATCCGAGCACACTACAGCAAAATAAGGTGTAAGAGATCGTAAAGGCCAAGTTCAAATCAGAAACTGATTTTTTTTGGTAATTTTTTTAATTTAAAGATTTAGAGTAAAACAGAAAAGCAAATCAAATTTATAAATGATCTATTTTTCTTTAGTAATTTCTTTAATGGTTTTGTTTAATTACATATAGCTGTGACAGTCGGGATCAAAGTGTGATTACTATTAAAAATACATTAAAATCTCACTTTAAAGCTTACCTTTCGACACTGTAAGTGCAGGTGACCACTGTGACCTCAGTATGTCCAGACAAATACTTCCATTGCTGTTGATATTTGGGTGGTAAATTTTTGTTGTGAATGCAACCTGCGTCAAAATGTAAAATAAAGAAAATTACAAAACACCAGTACAGCCCGTTAGAATCGCTACAAAAGAATGAGTAAATCAAACCGAACATGAAAATGACGACACTCTTACTCACTTTCGGTGGTTTGAAGGGATAATCTGTCGGAAAATGAATGGTGAGGAAAAACACTCCACTCTGATATGGGCTGTCACTCTGGGAAAATAAAAATATAAATTAGTTGCACCAACTTAAAAAAAAAAAAAAAAAAAGCTAACTTGAATCTTGAAGAGGATAAAGTTGTTACTTACTGGACCCATTATTGTTGCCTGCCAATGGAACACTGAAATAAAAAAATTAAAATAGAGATTAAAAAGAGCCCCGACTTTAGGTGTATATTTTAGTTGTGAAATTATAGTAAATTAATACAATGTTGAAAATGTATTACACATACGAGAAAATATTGGTACGTTCTGGGATACAGCACATTTGAACCAACTTACAATCATCTCCAACTGGTCCAGCTGAGCACTGGGCGGGGGGGTCCCTCTGCAGGTCTGACAGTTCCTGAAAGGCCAGACAGGAGAATTGTTAACCAGACTTAAATTATAAGTACTGGAAGGATTCAGATGCATCCAAGGCTATGTTCACCTCTTACTGCTCAATTCAGATGTTTTGCTCAGATCTGATTTTTTTGGCGCAGTCGTTCATCATCATTAAAATCCATCAGCCTCCAGTGTGAACCGTTTACAGTTCTGAGGCGACCCGCATGACGTCACACGCAGCACGCCGTGTTTAAGAAAGTAAATATGGATGCTACACATGTTAGCATGTGTGATTCTGAAATTGTGCATTCAGAACCAATTAAATTATTATCTGACATGCTTTGTTTGAGCCAGTGTTTATATTTAATCTTGCCTCTTGATGACTTCTCTGGAGTGGCAAAGTACTTTTTGAAACAGGAGAAACAAACTCAAGCATCGATCCCATCATGTTAGTATCGATACGGTCCAACACTAACGTTAGTTTCACATATTGTTGTCAATTCTTAATCAGCTCAGTCATGGGAAATTAAAGGAACAAAGACGAAGCCACTGGACTTCTGTTCTGTAGCTGAAGACACGCAGAGATCCAAGATTTAAACTGCACAAAATTAGTATAAATATTATCAATACTTGGATCGATCCACATCCCCTTACCTTGCTGACATAAAAGTTGAATGAAATGCAACACAACCGTTTAGACTGCAGTCGTTTTGAAAAACATTGGATAATAATAATAATAAATTTACTTATAAGGCCCTTTAAAACAACCATAGCTGCAACAAAGTGCTGCACACATAAAACTAAGACAATTTAAACACATAAACATAAAACAATTGTTAAAACATTATGACCAATAAAAGCAATAAAAAAATAAAAATAAAACAACAAGAGCGACAGACGGACGGACACACACACTGGCGCCATCTTGCAATCATGTAATATGTAAAAGTGGATATGAATCCGATTCAGTACCACACATGAAAAAGAGCTGGGTCCGATTTGAAAAATAAAATGTCCGATTTGTCACATTCAGACTATTGTGGGAAGAAAAATGAAATAAAACAGAACTGGACTGCATTTGCCTGCAGTGTGAATGTTTTGCAGTGTGATTTTTTTTAACAGTAAATTGTGGTATTTGTAGTCTGTATTTTAATCATTGCCTGTGTGCCTGTGAATGTTGCTTGTGCTTTTTTAACCATTGCGTTTTAGTTATTGTTAAGATTATGTTATGCCCTTGCACATAAAAAAAAAAAACCTTTATGCGAGTATAACATTATTTTATCCTACATTGGTTATTGTTTTCATTACTCTTTTTTTGTCATGTGCTACTGACCTGTTGGCCAGGTTACCCTTGGAAAAGAGATCTTGATCTCAACGAGTTTTTATTTGGTTAAATAAAAGGTGATGAAAAATGAGTACAGTCAGCTCCTGATCCCCTCATTATATTCCACTGGTTTAATATGCAGTGAGAATTGCAGCAGGGAAGTGCAAACATGTTTGCTGTGTGAAAATGTGTGTAAAATCAGAAACTTGTGATGTTTGCAATTTCACCATTTTATGTAATGGTTGTTAGAAAGCTGCATTCAATACTACCAAACGATTAAACATTAAAAGTTTAAACACTTGGCAGGAAATTCAACAAATTCAAAGATACAACTCAGGGTGCATTCACACCAGCCCCGTTTAGTCCGCTTTAATCGAACTAGCTCGTTTTCCTAGAAAGTCCGGTTCGTTTGAGGAGGTGTGAACGCGCCATCGAACTCTGTCACGGAACAAAAAGGCGAACTCTGGCCCGGGCTAAAACCTAGGTCTCGGTCCGGTAGAAGCGAACTCCAGTGCGGTTCGAGTACAGTGTGAATGTAAACAGACCAAGCCCCGCTCCACAAGCAAGAAGTGGAGTACAGCGCAGTGCAAACACGCATTTCTCTTACCTCATAAGGAGCCGTCAGCTGCCTTGTGTAAAAAACAATATTCTTCATGGTCTTCTGCCTCATCTTCCACTCATGCTGAGTCCATTGACGAAAAATGACAAAATATAACTCCTAAAACTGCTAAAACTTGATGCCACTCCGTTTTTGTTTTTATTTCCAGAAGAAGAAGTGTCTTCAGAGGTTTTTGTGTCGTTTCTTTCAGTAGTTCTTGGTGCAGCGCCACCACAGGTAAGTGGGGGAACAGGTTGGTTCAACAGGTTGACTCGACTGCACAGTGCAGTGTGAATGCAAACGCACCAGCTCAAATGTAAACAAAATGTTATGAATATTGGTCCCTGACCGAACCGAGTCTACCGGACTATCAGGTGTGAAAACAACCTCAGAGCCCAACTTTACACAGAGCAGTAAGACAAAGGCATCCCCACTAACTCAGGAGCCAGGCAGAAGGAGAAATCCCACACAAGACAGGCCCTGGAGCAATGTGGATATCCTAACTGGGCCTTCCTGAAAGCAGAGCAGAAACCCAAACAGGACTCCAGTCAGCCATCAGGTGAAAAGGAGGAACCCAGACAAGTGGTCATTCCATATGTTGCAGGAGTTTCAGAGAAACTTGAGACGTTTATTTTCTAAACACAACATCCCAGTGGCTTTTAAACCCCAAAATACATTACGGCAAAGACTGGTTCATCCCAAAGATCCAGTCCCCTGGCACAAACAGAGTAATGTTGTGTATGCTGTTCAGTGTCAGGAGGGCTGTGATCAGTCTTACATCGGGGAAACTAAACAGCCACTGGCCAAAAGGATGGACCAGCACAGAAGATCAACATCATCAGACCAGGATTCTGCAGTCTACACTCATCTGCAGACCAGCAGTCACCCTTTCAGGGATGAAGATGTTCACATCCTGGACAGAGAGGAACGATGGTTTAAGAGAATAGTGAAGGAAGCCATCTTTGTGAAGAGAAGCTGTCCATCATTAAACAGGGGCTGAAGCCTCTGTGTTCAACCGGCACCCTCTTACAATTCTGTTATTGCTAGTATCACTCAGACCCCTGCGACTAGCAAGTGGCCATCAGGGCACTAACGATTAACTGTTAGGGCTCAAACGATTCATTGTTAAGCTGATGGTCCTCCAGGAGGTTAAGTTAACCTAACCAGGTTAACCAGGTCCAGAGGAGCCGACTTAACCTGATTAAGGCAAACAGTGACATTGATTTTATTACTTTACTGTACTTAGAGAGTACCTTGCAACTGTGTGCCTTTGGGAAATGCAAATATTGGGTTGAAACTAAGGGTGCACCGATAAATCAGCCTCAATTTCTTTAATTTAATTGGGAAATCGGCCGATACTTGCATGAGAAACTGATTTTTTTTTAGTTTTAGCAACAGTTGTCTGAACTTCATTTGCATGTCGGAGCACTACCACTGGTTAGCCAGTTAAAACAAGTTTGTATTGTTTCAATGATATTGTTCAAGGGTGTGTTTTTCAATAAAATAAGATTGGAAAATTGAAGGTGCATTGTGACCTTATAACATCTGACAGTGTCGCTTATAAAACAAAATCAGTATCGGCCAAAATCGGAATCAGCAGGTCAGACTTTTTAGAAATCGGTGATCGGCCAGAAAACTGTGATCGGTGCACCCCTAGTTGAAACCTGGCATCAGCATTTGGCACCAACTGGACTAGGAACCAAAAAATAAATACAAATAAAACTTGGACATGCATACTTCTAGATTTAAAAAATAAAAAAATAAAAAACACAAACCAAAAAACTTAAGACCTGTGCTGATTTTACATCTAATTTGTTGATAATGTCAAAAAATATTCACCAAAACACAACTGTAAAATAAGAACCTCAAGATAATAGGTTTGGATCATGAGGCAAAAAACAAAACAACCAGAAGTTGGTGCAAGTAAGATGATTATTAATTTTAGGGATGCACAATATTGGGTTTTTGGCCGATATGCCATCCATCCATCAATTATCTTTACCCGCTGGGGGTCCCAATATGTTAAAACTTGTTTGGCCGATAACCGATACCAATAACGATATGTATTTCCCTAGTGTGCGGAGTGGGATCCTCTGCACTCTTGTGCATGAAGGACAACCTTTTAAGTTCAAAGTTTTTTGTCTATTCGTTGTTCTGCAAGACTAATCATGCTAACGGTGCTAACACTTGACGTCCAAATGTCTGTGGTAAAACTCACCCAAGTGCTATCGGCTATTAGCTTCTCAATGACGTTGGAAATGATGGCTTGTAACTTGGGTAAGGCTACGCCATGAAAATATCTCCAACTGGGGATGATGTAGTGAGGCTCAACATGGTCCAAAAATCTTCAGAATCCGACATCCTCGACAAATGAAAATGGTTGGCTATCCAGAGCGATACTCTCCATCAGATTCTGAGTGATGCCTTTTGCCCCCAGGTGGTTGCGACTGTATTTCCTTGCTTTGTCCAAAACTTGTAGAATGAACTGTTGGTGAGGTTTTGTTTCTCCGCAGTTGACCGCTCTCTCGCTTTCCTTTCTGACCACCATGAACTCCTCGTTATGGTCAGAATGGTGGTTCTTGAGAAGGTTAATTAGGTCTGAAGTGTTGTAGGGCTTCGTTTTCGCTCCTCCTCGCATCACTGATGCTGAGCAGTTCTGCCATTTTAAAAAAAACTTCCACACCAACAACATTTTCACTTCTTCCTCTCCTGCTTTGATCAGATAGTGACGTCATAACTTTGTGCTGGTGCTGCAAGCATCCTTGTCACTGGGTTGTCAAACAAAAACAGCGACTTGTGTGTAAAAAAAATAAATAAATCTTTTATCGCCAATATCGGCCGATTCCGATACCATGGCGATATAGTGTATCCCTAATTAATTTTCTGTTTCTGAAAAGGTCGCCGTCCTAGGCTAATGTTAGAAGAACAGTCAGACGGATTCAGCCTTAAATCTGAGCCATAGTATTATTTCTACAAGTCATATATAGCATACTTGCAGTCAGATTTGTATAGTATTACAGATTTAAGTTCAATAACACTTTTGTTAACAGTTGAGTTTAGCTCGTATACTACTAAACTTAACCAAAAGCAACAAAAACACTTCACACAAAAAAAGGAAAACACTGGTTTAAGTTGTTAAATCAAAATTAAAATCAAATGTCCACGCTACATAACATCACACTCACAACAATGAGCACAAATAGCAAAACACTAACCGCTTTAATAGAAAATAAGCCTGTTATTTAACATCTCATGTAAGGAAGCCCATTATATAAATACACACCAGGGCCTGTTCCATGGCCCATTTGCCAATCCATATAAGGCCACTCACTCCAGGGTTCAATTTTGGCCACCATGAAGCAGCTGTCATTCAGCAACCAGTGCCAGAGACAACAAAATAAAAAGTGACAAAATATTAATTTATTACATAATGTATGTGTTCTGCTAGCTGGCCATTCCAGTCAACCAGGGCCGTTAGCAATAAAAGCTAGCTCCACCTTGGCAAAATAACTTTTACCTCGGTAAAAACAGGACACATTCAAACGAAATGTCCAATATTTCAGGAAAAGAAAAAGCGATGCTCCCATAAAGGATTCGTTGAATGATAAGGTTTTTTTTAAATGTACCAACAGGGCCACCGGTGGTCAACTCGCCTTTGTTTGTCTTTGAATTATTTTAAAAAGGAGCACAAAAAGCACAGCGGGAAGGCTAATCCCATGTTAGGAAATGTTACACGTAGCATTATATTCAAACGTTATGCCACAACGAGAAGCAAAAATCGACTACTGAACACGCGAGACACTTGATGCAATTACACACTCACCTTCTGGATTCTTTTCAACGCCATCGCTTCAATGGCTATGCTAGCTAGCCTGTCAGCTAACAGTTAGCACCTTAGACATACAATTAGGATTCTGTGGCCGCGTACTTTTTAAATGTCGCTTTACGTCCAGTTAACAAATCACGTCTGTCATGAAGCAAGCTTGGACGTAAGAACACTCAGACAACAACACCAACTGTGAGCTATAACCTGCGCTTTCTGTAGACTGCTACAAAACAACCGAAATATTTTGCTTTCTGTCTCTCTTCTCGCCTCTCTGTGCCAAACAGCAAATATCGCGAGACTTGGCGCACAAGTCACGATGCGACAAACTGGACTTCCTGAAAACTATAAAAGTTCAATGTTGCTCAGTTTTTAATTGTTTACTTTATTTTATTTAACTGTACGTCCTGAAACTATGAAAGTTCAATGTTGCTCAGTTTTTAATTTTATTTTATTATATATATATATATATATATATATAT